TAGTGACACAAACCAGGCCTTGGAATATGACACACTTCTTATCCTTCCTTCCCTTCCCCCAAAAACTGTAATACCAAACCTCACTGCCTCTCAGGAGAGGGCAGAAATCCCACATAATCACAACCCCCTAACATGCATATTGATCTGCATCAGCACTGCAGTAAAAACCTTCCCAACCAAGCACGTATTTCTCATTAGCCAGTCAAGTCCCCATGCTTTTAATTTGTATTTAGGTCATTAATACCACATTACTTAAAAAACACCAAACAACCTGAACACTGCAGAGCATAGTCTGGCCAATACAGAGATCCGAAAGAGAGCGACTGTGCACGTGTTTAATAGAGAAAAACATCTTCTGCCTAGCAACCAGCCAGCTCTCCTGGCGGGCCAGGGGAAGGAATTCAGTGCTATAAATGTCAGCAGGCAAATTAAGCCATCATGCCTGAGATACAAAGGCCCAGTCACTGGGCAGTAAAAAAATTAAAGAAAAAACAGTTATAGGAGAAATATTAAACAAACCAAACAGATGCATCTAATAGCTTGCTTCCCCCACTATCTTTAAATAAAGTTACAGATTGCTCCCAGCTAGATGGGTTCTGTGCTTGCACTTATTTATAAGCTGATTTCTTGCCCATTTTATATACAGGATGAGAGAGAGAATGCTGAAAGCAATTTACCATTTTGATGTTATTGAAAAAGGGAACTCAGTGCAGTATTAAAGTATATGATGGTCCTGAATCCAAGGTCAGACAGGGAACAGGTTGGCTGAGGATGATGGTTATCAAAACACAGCACTGCCAGCAGGAGGGCTTTTCTCCTTTTCATCCTTTCTTTTTATTGGAATGAGGTAAACATTTTATGAATTCTGACAAAATCTCTCAGCCACTTCAGCTAGTCGAGTTTTTTTTCCAAATAGTTCCATTATTCTTAATGTACTGGGCAATTTACTGTGAGGTCTGCACTGAGATTAGGCACCTCTTCATTCTAGATGCTGTGTAAATACACAGACTTCTGGCCTTAAGGAAATTGCTGTCCATTTGAGGCAGCCCAGTAAAGTTAAAGGAAGGACTGCTACCTCCTCTTTGCAGATGAACTCCATCATAGGGATATGGAGAGTCCAAGGTCATGGATGAGGCTCAGTCAGTGCAGCAACAGGCTCTGTGTACTCCCAGGAAGCTTGAAGACTCCAGCCACTGCCTTTCCAAGGGTCTTAAAAAGGGGCCGTCATAAATGGAGCAGAGCTTGCTGCCTTCTAGATGTAAAGTGACTACCATGCCCCAAAGGTGGTACAATAGAGGAACTCCTACTCCCGTAGGTCCCAGCAGTGGTGACTCTGAAGGTCCTTTCCAACAGTACGGCTTTGTTTCAAGCAAATGCAAGACATGCAACAAAGAAATACCTGAGGGTAACCCATAGACACCTCTCACCTTCATACAACTGGATCAACTAAACAGGTTACCCTTGGTGGGTTGTTCCTTCATTGGTGTTGTAGTCCTGAAGGCAGCTCTGGAAGAGTGTTAGTTCTTCCTTTCACACTGTGCTGTACAGTTAGAGGCATTACGTAGAAGGAGAGGCTAGATGAATGGCATTGCCAAATCAGAACTATCACTAAACCTAGCAGTGCGTTTCCAAGAGGAAAAAAGAAACAAAGGATAAGCAGAACCAGCACCAGCCAGGAAAGAACATTTCTGTGCTGCACAGAATTCTTCCCCATTAACAGGCCAAAGTCCAAGAAATGGCCACCGGAACAAATGAGGTTCTGTGCAGATCTAATCCCCCACCTCAGCACCAAGGAATTAAAGAAAGAATTAGGCTGTGGCCATTCCCTTCCAGAGCAAGGAATGCTTAAGCAGGTTACGACTTTGTGCTACGGATGTTTTCTGGGAAGGAGAAATAATGACTTGGTTGCCAGCCCAACTCACTTTTTTCTTGCAGGGAAACAAGGATTATTTTTTGACAAAGCAGTTAAGAATGATTACTGCATGTCAGTGTGTTTGAAGTGTTAACCTCAAGGATTGCTGGAAGTGCCAGCATTTCCCCAGCTTTCTTCTCCCTCCAGTATTGTTTGTGCTATGTAGGACAAGGGGCCTGGCCAACCTGGCAGGGATTGGCTAGCAGGGCAATCCTCTTGCTGCTGCCACCACAAAAATTCAGAGAGGTGCCTGAGAGATAAAGGTTCTGATTTCCTCTGGATGGTGAAACACTGCAGCACGTGGAAATGAGAAACGGGGATGGAGCAACAGCGGGGATCCCAGCAGGGCTGATCCTGAGAAAGAAGCTTTGAACATGGTGGTGACTGTTCTGAAAGATTTTGGGCTGATCACAGGCCCTGTGGGAATGGGGTTGTTAGGAGAGTTAGAAGGGTGCAGTCAATCCAAGCCTTGTCATCACACCAACACTTCCCAGCAAAGAGAAGGTGATGAAGCTGCTGACCTGTGACACTACTGCCTGTGCTGGGTTGTGCACCTGGCTCACTGGCCTTAGTGCGCTCCCTCCTTCCCCTGCACTGCCTGGAAGATGATCTTTGCTCCTGCAAAGCTCTGCTTTAACACCCCATCTGCACGCTGCACATCTGACCAAAAGGATGTGACATGCTGCCAAAACCACAGCCCAATGGAAGCTCCGAGGGTACTCTAAGCATCAGCAGCAAATTCATGTGCATATGACAGCCAAGGTAACAAAGTCAGATGGGTCCAAGCAGAAAGGATGGCTGCTCTGAAGTCTGCTTCCCAAAGATAACCCAGGGCAGCAGCAGGACACACAGCCCCACAAGGACATGGCATTCTGGCCCCAGGATTTGCTCTAAGCACAACCACTGACACACAGTGCAACACATCCTCACTGCTGATGAGCAAATTGCTGCTGGAGCTTACCTTTGTTTCAAGACAGAATCACTTCCAGAGAGATAAGTAACAGCACAGACTGTAATGGCAAAGGCCTTGCAGGGCTGCTGGCCATCCGGGCTTGCCATCAGTGACCAAACTGAGGAATCTACTTTGTATTAACTGGGAAAAGAAGCTCAGCTACATAGTGCAGTACTTACGAAAAACAATTTTCCTCTTACTTTGGTGAATTCTCTGTTACTATCAAGCTCTTAGAGGAACGCTTTTGTCATGGTTTTGGTTTTTGCTTATTTGACTTTCAGTATTCAACATCAAAACATCGTGTACTGGAAGTGTTAATATTCTAACTCTACGTACCTATCCCTATACATTGCGGAAGTCACGGGATCTGACCCTTCCGGGGGGGGCGGTCTCTTACTGCCTGGCAGTGGGTGCTGGAGGGTGCTTTCCTAGCCGTTCCAAGCTTTTTCAGGTTTGACTCGGTCTCGGGAACTCTCTCTCATATCTTATTTCATTCATTAGTCTCAATTTCAATTAGATTGTATTATATTGTATTATTTTGTATTCCGATATCATAGTTAGTAAAATAAGTTTACCTCCATAGATTGTTGCCGCTGTTTCTTTCCTTTTCCCCCTTCCTTCCCATTTTGTGGGCCCAGGTGGGGGGTGGGGAGGGCAGGGGCATACTGCCCCCTGTCACGGGCATAAACTGATCCAGTTAATTCCGTGACAGCTTTGCATCCTGTTATAATGGGGAAACCAAATTTGAATTGATTTCCCCCAGCTGCCACCCGTAATAGAAAGGCCAATACTATCAATAGCAGCAATAAAAGGTTCATGCATATGCCACCTGAACAAGCACAACAAGAGAGATTCAGGCAGGAGGATCATAAGTCACCCCCTCTTTTGAGAACAAAGTCAGGACATGTGACTTCCAAGCAAACCCGACAACTCCCAACTCACAGCAGTATGACTTCCAAGCAAACCCTACTACTCCCAATTCACAGCAGTAGCTGTAAAGATCCATTCACCTATTGTCAACACGGTGATTATTTTAGGAAAATGTTCAATCCACCATTATTGTATTCCAAAATGCAGTAATTTATTCGATGTTTATGAGTACTCCTGAAACAGAAAGGGGAATAATTCAGCAATGACACTGATTATAAAACTTCGACTCTGTACTAAATAGTTTCTAATTTTCTCCTCAGGATCTGGATGTGACAAAAGCATTGAATGTTACAGTGTCACAAGCAGCTATTGACAGTTAATTCCCATCCAGGAATGAAATCCTCCTCTTTCATATTTTAATGAATTTTCTCCAAACCGGTAATATGTGTAGACTTTGAATCCCAACCACAGAAAGCAGCCACTGAACACAAATAATAATAATTGCACTCTTCCTCATTCCACCATCTCAACAACGCTGCTACAAACAAAACCTCCCCACACAGTAAGTGGTATTACAAATTATTTCCATTTGCAAAGCCAAACCGTTCTCTCCATCAGCACTTGCCTGCAGAACCAAGCACACACCAACCACCTTCCTCGACACCCAACCGACCAACTCCACCAGTTGACAAAAGTCACGTCCTTTGCCATGGTCCACTGATCATGACCTTCACCCCATGGCAACGATGGTACATTGAGTTGGGGAGAGGTGGGTGAGAACAGGGAGAAGTCACAGTTTTCAGTGATGAATCAAAGTAGCTGATCCACAACTCCATGGCACTGGGAGGGTGTGGGGATGATGCAAAGCGCTCATTCTCAAGAGCTCCTTATAAAGGTAGATTGGAGGAACGAGCAGGAGACGTGAGATGTGGTGTGCTCGTAGAGGTTTGGGCACAAAACACAATTTTAACAAGATAATAACAGATGGCTTTGCTTTTTCAAATATCTTTAGGCTGCTCATTGAGATTTGCGTGTGTTCTTCTCTTGGCATTAAAATACATTCATATTCTGTGTGCGAGACACCTTGTACAGCACAGCAGCACAGACAGCGTGCTTAAGTGATCAAAGCACCTTTCATAGCCGTACCACCAGCACTGACAAACAGCCCTGTTTTACAAACACTTTACCTCCCGATCTCAGCAAGAAATGACATTTTCCTCCTTCAGCCCCAGGCTGGATGCTGAAAAGGCACACGTTGGCACTCACCTAGGAAGCCCTCTTCATCCACAATGATGGTGTAGTCCTCGGGGGTTTCCGTGAGGCTGAAGAACTTGCACCTGGCAAAGGCAAACAGCAGAATGTGATTAGGTACCAAGGTGAGCAGAGCTTGGTCTTCCATTTAAAATAGGTAGTGCTGGGGAAAGAGCCACGGGCTGGCTGCACAGAGCAGCCCAAGGCATTCAGAGACACAGATTTTATTCCTGGCTCAGCTGTTCACGCTGCGTGACCCACATTCCCTGCTGCCTGCCTATGCACAACGGAGCTGGTAAAACACTTATTATTTTTATGATTTAGTTATTAGTTACTTTTCTTAATCATCACATCCCTTAAGGTGTTCTGTCACAGCCCAGGAGCTGCTGTGTTACACCAAAAGGCTTTTTGCTCACCGCCTGCTCGCTCCAGCGCCTTCAGAAGCTTCCCCATGTGTCACACATGCACCTTCCCTGTTTGTCCCCAAAGCCTCCTGACACACAGAGGTTTGGAGGCAGATCTCTCAGCCAAATCACCTTGATTCCCAATTTGGTCCCTGTTCCTTTCTTCAGAGGGAAGCCTCTGTTCCTAGGGGAGCTCAAGGTGAAGAGAAAAATGGCAGCAAGCCACCAAGCACAAGAGCATAGAATCACTAAAGCTGGAAAAGACCTCTAAGATAACACTGCCCAACCACCCACCTACCACTAATACTGCCCATTAACCACATCCCTCAGTGCCACATCTCCATGTTCTTGAACACCTCCAGGGATGGTGACCTCACCACCTTCCCGGGCAGCTGTGTCAATGCATCACCACTCTTTTGGAGAAGTTTTTCCTAATATCCAACCTGAGACTAAGGCACTATGCCTTAATATCCTGCTGCCCCTGCTCTACGCTCATCTTCTAATACCCAGACCACACGCATCACACTCTCCATCTCCTTCAGTACTGCATACAATGTCACCCCTACCACCAGATACAAAACAAATGTGACATGAGATTCTTCCACTGCAGACACAAATAAAAAAAGCCTCAGCCTTAAGGTTTAACATCACAGACAGCTGAAGGAATTTTTTTCCTGACATGCACCGAAGAACGCACAGCGACGTCTGCTTGAAAAAAGATGCCCCCTCCAAAAACAAGAGGGAGAGAAATGAGAAAGCTGCCACCCTCTCTATCATCTCATTGGGGAAACCAGGAGAAACAACACACAGCACCATCAGTTGACCTGCATGCAGCCCGCAGGGTGCCACGTAAATGGACGCATTGCACAGCCTGCCTTTACAGACTCACCCTGCTTCCTTACAAGCATCCGTCATGACAATCAAGCATGACATCCTCCCTCCTAGCACAGATGTATCACTATAAAATACAGCAGCGGCCCCACCACAACAAAAACCACAACTTAATTATTTTGTGTCATTGGTAATAGCTACTGTGACAGCCACATTTACTAACTCAACTCGCTCCAGGAATTGTGCCAAGAGAAGCAGAAAGCAGTGGTAGCCCATTTTTTTTAATTCTTACTGCTTAACTGCACGAGGATGCAACCTGTGATAGGCGATCTGGGCGGCAGGGATTCCTGGGATTCTGCTCCAGGTGGCTCCCCAGAGAGATCAGCATTGATTATTTAGGGGGTGAATTCCCTGGACACATTGCTGAAATGAAATTATTTGCAATACCAGCCCATCTAGCCACATGCAGACTGACCAGGGGAGAGCTAGGAAGAAACATGAATATTGAAAAACAAAATGAACCCCTCAAATCCCCAAACTACCTTTCTCTGATCTGCAATGATATTTATAGAGCAATTCTGTTCCAGAACGGTAATACACGTCTGTGTGCACACACTGACCCAGCAGAAAAAGTATTAGCATTGACAGATGCCATTTTCGTAATGCACATCTAAAAATGATGATATTTAAGGGATATGTACAGATGAAATCCCGTAATTGCTGGCTCAGAAAGTGTGTCAAAACCTCACATCTTTATACACCAGCGCCAAGCTCAATCCCCACCTCACAGCAATTCTGCAAAAAGGTCAGCAGCACAGAGAGCTGTGAATTTAAAAGCAAAGCCTTTCCAGCAGCCCACAAAAGACCATCAGTTCTTGGACTATACATTCACTTTGTTCAAACCAATTCGGCATTTTTTTTCTTCCCCAGGGAAAAGCTAAAAATGAAATTGCAAACACTGTGTGATAAAATATGGCACAAAAAGTTATTACTGCATGCAACCAAAGCCCACGTCCTCACCCTATAACCCTATGTCCCAGCATAGGCCATGTAAAGACCTGTGCCCACTGCCTCAAAGCATCAGTGCCAGAAGGAACCCAATACTTTATTTCTTCTTGCGCCATACTACATGCTCCTCTCCCATTCAAACTCTTCCAACCATCTCCGTCCTCTTACACCAGCTCTAGAAAAGCTGAATGTCAACACCAACTCTTACTCTCACACCAAAGCCAAGAAAGGAAAGGAAATGCCCTTTAACCACGGTGAGACATCAGGCAAACAGAACTTCTCTAAGTATGTGTGGAAAGCATATATGTAAAGAAGAAAATATTTTTAGTTCCCTAATAGCCAAACCTCTGATAGATCCTTCTGGATTTCTGCCTTCTTCATGTATCAGCACATTTGCATTTCAGTACTGTTGCTGACTTCGACTGCCTGACAACATATGTCTTTTTCTGGCAACGCAGCAAATGTAGACCAATCTATTATTAGATTAGATCTTTGAAACTGCAATGCTTACACTGTGTATTTAAGCAATACCCGAGCTTGCACAGAGCAGGAAAGCATGTGTAGGATGCAGCAACAGCATCGTTCCCGTTTGCAAACAGCACATAAGTCTCTGTAGGAGAAGCAAGCAAGCAGGGAAGTGTGCCAGTGAAGTGGGCACCAGGAGCAAATCCTGGAGGTGTTTGTTCCTCAGGCCTCCCCTGAGCACCAGGAGCCCATATGATGTCCCCACTATGGGGTTCCACACCAAGCATGTCAGTGGGAACATCACCATGGGAAAAGTCCACCTTAGATGGTGAACTACAAGACAGAGAGTCATTATGGTTGGGAAAGACCACTAAGATCACCAGGTCCAACCATCAGCTCACCCCCACCACACCACTGACCCTCAGTTCCACATCCCTACAGTTCCTGAACACCTCCAGGGACAGTGACCCCACCACCTCCCTGGGCAGCTGTGCCAACCAACACATCATCACTCTTTGGAGAAGAAATTTTTCCTAATACCCAACCTGAATATCCCTCAGTGCAACTGGAGGCCATCACCTCTCATCCTATCGCTGTTACCTGGGAACAGAGACCAATTTCCACTCATCACCACCTTCTTTCAGGCAGTTGGATGTAGAGAGTGATGAGGTCTGAGCAAATACGGAAAAAACATAATTTGTTGGGTTTTACTCCAGGCTGTCTTCTGATTTATATGCCTCACTCTGTACATTATCATGGCAACATACATTCTTCGTGCAGAAAAAGTCTGATGCTAATCACCTCATTCCTGGTCATCTTCACTTTTGTGCAGTTTGGTAAGTCACAACAAGAGCTGGATTCTAGTACAGCATATTGTGAAACCTACTTACAACAGCAGTAAATCACACTTGTGCTGTTAATACCTTTTGACATATTTGTGTAATATTTTAAGTACTTTACACCATCTAATTGCTAGACTATGCAGTCAGATAGCACTGGAAACTTCAAGCAGTTCGTATGAGCTGCCGAACAAACAGAGGAAACACAAAAGATGTCAAAGCACGGCTAGAAACGGTCAAAGGACAGCGGTCACATTCCTTGCAGCCATTAGTTGTGCTCAGACCTGCAATGCAGACGTTAGCAAACACAACCAGGGGCCGCCTGCAGAGTCCCCATGATAGCAGAGTTTGGGTCGCTACAGAAAAGTTAATCATTTTCAAAAGCAACACAGAGCAAAACTAACAGATCCATGGCCAAGGAAAGCAAGTGTTCATGAACAGACATAAATTCTAGGAAACCCTACAGCCTGTGCTGTGTCAGAACTTTCAGCACAATAACCATGACCGTCTTGTCTAATCCCTAATAATATTAATGGCAGGTTAAGCTAGAGATTACACTGCTTGCAATTAAGAAGGGGGGGCCTTTGGTTAAGCCATCTCCTTGTGACTTCTGTGTAGCTGGAGAAGTTATCTAAACCCTTTGTTTAGGTGTTAAGACAACTGGGAACATAATAATAAAAAAATGATCTGCATCACTGAAAGAATGGATCAGGGGCAGACACAGAAAGGATGCCCTGAAATGCAGAAAGCAGGAAACAAAATCTTTTTTCCCAGAAAGATGTGGATGTGCTCAAAAAGACACTGATCCTAAGTACAGACATGCAAGAAGTGCCAGCTGAGTATCTAGGGTACCTGCCTTCCTTAAACCAGTACCAAACCACGGTTCTGATCTTCATCAGAACAGTTCCAGGTGTTCTGGACCACAAGAGTCCAAGCAAATCAAATTACTGCTGCAAATGAAAGACCAGCAGTATCTTGGAACAATATTGACTGGTAATTATGGTACCATTTCCACTTTTCTGGAGCCAGACTTGGTCACTGCAGACTTCCCAAGCTGTGGATTAAATGAAGCTTCAATATTCGAGTTATCTCGCAATGTAACCACAGCAGACATTTTTTTGGTTCTATAAACACACACTGGCATTTATTTTGTAGGAGTAGCGAGGTCTAAGTCACGGTGTTCTCACTAGTCAGTTCTGCAGTATTGCTTTCTAAAGCTGTTTCTTGGGAATTAAATTTTTCCCTCATTTGTCATGACAGCATTTTTTTTTTTTTTAAATACATGCAACTTGGCTGGCTTATTTTTTCAACAGACTTCCTCCATCGTATTTAGATAAGATTCTGTGAGTAAATCTGTTTTAACTCGACTTAAGTGTAGAAATAAACTCTTGCCAAATGCAGCGAGAAAAGCCAAAGCTATGCTGAAGTAGTAGTAAGAGAAAGTGAAGAAATGAAGATGTGTCACATGCTGGGACAGACTGGGAAGCTCTGCTTGGTGAAGGGAACTATATGAAGGAGATGAGAAGATGCAAGTCCATC